TGCCATCTACAAAGTATGCTATTTTCTTCTTCCATGCCATTAAAGATAATGTCAAATAAGATGAAACTGAAAACCAATCTCTTTGGCATCTTACTGGGAACATGCCCCTGCTCACTATATTACCTACCTTTGCCCCCCTTTTTTCCCAATTTCAGGTGCACATACCCAAATCCTTTTCTCAGACTGTTCAAATGAAACTCTCTAACAGCCCTCTGGAATTCAGACTTCTTAGACCTGCACTATCCCCCTGAATCTTAAAGGTCCATATCCTGCAAAGAGTATGGATGTGCTTAACTTTACATATATAACCAGCTACATTAAAGAAAATGGGAGTAATTGCCTGCTACAGCAGATGCAAATGTGTTTTTGGGATAGAGAAAATGGTATAATTTTGCACTTCTATTTAAAGAACACAAATCCATTTCATCTACCAAACTTCATTCTTTCCAAGAGCTTTAGTGATCATGGTTCTGTTTGATGTCTTCACTCTCTGTCAGTGGGAGTCTTGCTATTTACTTAAATGCAACCAGGATGCCAAAACAGATGTTCCTTGATTTATTCTGAGATATTATTGGATACTGGAGATGACAAAAAATGGGGGTGAGTGCTCTCCTTTATGCCTTGTGAAGTCTTCCAAAGCTTTGCAGAATTATTGATGGTACAATAATTAGTCAATTTCCTTAATATTCAAGAGGCCACATTAGCCAAAGCAGAAGGAAACTGTTGAATTAGTTTCGTAACAACATTCTCACAGGCTCCTACCTTTCCTCCTGCCTCTATTTATAAAGAATATTCAATGTGCTGGATATTTTTAAAAACTCTTAAGGAGAACATTTTCAAAACAAAATCTGGGCCAGACTTTCGACAGCCTCAGCTCAGAGGAGAGGGATGGATTTTCAAAGTCTTAGGTGAACAATGAAACATCAGCATTGCCTCAATGATCTGCTGGTGCTGGGCTCCACTGAACAACAGTCTTCCTTTGTTCCTTCCCTACCACTTTCGCCATTTTTTCTCTGTGCTTTTCACCCAGCAATCACTCCTTGTCTGTCCTTGGAGGAACAATTGTCACTCTGATGCAGAGGTCAGTGGATTTCCAGCCCATATTCAATTGACTCCCCCCAAATTGGAAGTTTTTAGATTGCCTAACAGTCCATGCTGGTCATCCATTTAAGTCCCCTTCACTTCTGAAATCCAGTAATTTTTTTAAAGTTTGTTCTTGCAGCCCTAAATTCAAGTGTTTCATTCCTTTGTTACAGAGGATTTTCTATCATACAAGGAGAAAAAAAAAAAGAAAATAGCAACAACATTAAACATCAAAACAATGTCCCAGGTGATTTACTGGACGTCTTAAATGATGATATGGAGATGGTACAGAGACTGGGAAATTTTAGTTTTGCACTCTGGACAAGCAGGCACAAATGGGAGAAAGAGGGTAAAAAGTTCTGCTTCGTTAACGTGGCTGTTGACCATTTTCTTCCCCAAAATCCCTGGAGCCACTGCAGGAATTACTCACCTATGTGTACTCAGTTGTCTGATCACTGGCCCAGAGCTATTTAGAGGTGAGTTCTGTTTTTCACAAGATCTCAAGTCAGCAAATAAGAGTACTTGTCAGCTGAGTCATTTCTGCTAGCTTTGCATTAAGCACTATGGCCGGAGGGGATGCGCAATAGAATTTAGGCCAAGTAAGAGGGCAAAAGCTCAGCATCACTCAACAGCAAACCCTGCAACAGGGTCAGAAAAGCAGGCAGAGTTCAAACAAGACTGTCACAGTAGCACACAAGAGAATCAGTCTCTTTGTATAGCCTCAGAAGCAGAAGCATTTCCATTGCCATTAGGTTGACTTGAGGTAACACACAACCAGATGTGATAACCACACATGGTGAGATGCGGAGATATGGTGGTGTCAGTAATAAAGCTGTGATGCTGGCTCTCCAACTATCCATCCCCAAAGCTCGGGGGCAACTTGAGGTAAAAAAAAATCCAAGCTCATCTGAAAATTGCAGGGAGGTTACAAAGATTTCAAAGCCATGCAAAATCCAGCAGCAAGCACAGCCAAGCTACCGCCCAGCAAAGCAGCCTTCACAACACTACATGTTCAGAGAACTTGTAGAGCTCACTTTGGACATCTTCCTAATGCTCTCCAGCGAGACTGAGAATAGCAGCACTGAAGCACAACAGGAAAACGCACACACAAGCAAGGTCCCTGCAGCCAAGTCCAGCCTATAAATTTGGGCAGCTGACATTACAGATGTCTTCCTGTCACCCTGCTGCTAAGACTCACTGTTCTGAAAAGACAGATTGAGACAGGTCAGTGGGCACACACAAAGCACTACTCAGACACCCAGAAATATATTGGGTCAACGAACTACATCAAGACTTGGGGCTGAGCTACTGGTCACCATTTAAGAGATTAAATTGGTGCCATGTCAATAAACAAACAGTAAAGGAGATGGCAGAAACCTTTTTCCCTTTCCACCTCTTCCCTTTGCTGCTGCTTTTACCTCTGCTGCATCTCTGAGCCTTGGTAACAAGCCCCAGGGTTTACAGCAGCACAGCAACAAGGAGTGCTAGAATCAATGTTCCCTCCATACATGATTGCCTGTTCCAGGGAGAAGGCAAGGTGAAGGTAAGAGCTCTAAGCCAGCAATCGGGAGGCCACATCAGCCCCCAGGGTGTAAAAGGCTGCAAAGTTTCCTGATAACATGAGGCAGAGCCAAAGAAAATAAACAGCGTTGTGGTATTCCTGCCTGGGAGGCACAAGTTCTCCCTCACCTCAAAGCTTCCTGAGCCCCCCATCAAAATGATTAGATTCTAAAAACTGCTGAAACCAGAGCTTTTCATGGAGATCAGTCAAGAAGTCACAGCATGACAAAAAAGTAACTGGGGCTGTGGTAGGGTGAGAGCCCTTCTTCCTGTGGTGGCTGTATATTGGCATGTATTAAGTATAGACACAACAGTAAGCAATAAATCACAGCCCAGGAGAAGTGCCAGGTGGAATGCACTGGAGGAAATTAAAACATCCCTCTCAATACAGTTCGGCATTGAAAGGAATACAAAGGAGACCAAGTTGACTTATCATCTGCATTGCCAGGGTGCTAAGGGGAAAATGGTTTCCAAGATTTCCAGTTGAAAAAAAAAAAAAGGCAGGTGAATAATTTCCTGAAGAAAAAACTTAGCTTGTAATTAATAATGACATCACAAACAACCTTTAAAATAAATTAATAGCATCCTTGCTTGATTTCCTAATCTTCCTTCTTTTTTCCTTCTTTTTTCCTAGTGCACACTCCCTCCACAAGACTCAGCCAAGGAGCAAAAGATCCATCACAGACTCCATAAGTACATGAACTGGCCAGCACTGGAATTCAGCAAATTCTGACCTCCTACATTGCCAAATGTATGCAACCCACATTGCTGTCTGAAGTCTCCATCTCACGTGCTTTGCTATAGCCCAATAAGTGGCTTACATTGCCTAGAAGTAACAAACCAGTCAGGATGGACTAAAGCTATACTAGCAGGGGAGGATGCTGAGGACCTCAGGCCTTAGGTCGATGGTGCTCCTATCCCCCAACCACTGCTGTGTTCTTTTTTTCTACTTGTTCCTTTTATAGGCAGTTGAGCAAACCTCCACCATTTGAGCTTTAATGGAACTGTCATACAATGTACTTATACAGGCTGAAACTGGGACACGATCTATAAATTACCGGAAAGTTGAACTCAAGATTAGGAAAAGAAAGAAAAGGAAGAACTCATTTGTCTTGAAATTGGATCACATATATGTATACACACATAAATATTCCCAAAATGAAACTCTCCAGGACAGGCTGGAGAAGACAGCTGTTATGTTCTACCTTTTTAAATCTCTGCTTTTAAGAGCTAAGGACGAGATGGCATTTTCCAGCTGTGATTCTTTCTCTTACTAAACACTTTGGTGTCAGCCTCTCTGTATAAGCAGTTAAACCTTTACACATTAAACACTTCTGAGTTTAACTTGCAGTAATGTCCAAGTTATGTTTTCTAAAGAGATAATTAAAGAGGCTCAGCAAAAATAGAAAAAGCCATTATTTTTACACTGAGACAGACATGAATTTAGTACAAGCTGATAGATAAACTCTACTTGTTGAAAATAAAATTATTGTGACATTTTCTGTATTAGATTTTTGGCAAGAGAACAGGGACATCTTGCACCAGGCTGCGAAAGAGGGAGTCCATTTAGATGGTGCTAACAAATTCCTTCCTCTTGTCTAGCACAGAGGACATCAGATTCAGAAAAAACTCTCATCAAAAAAAGCAAAGCAGAGGCAGATGAGGAGAGGAAGCAATGTTTTTAGAGATGTACACACGCCATCAGTTGGTTTCACACTGGTTCACCTGCTAGAAAGAAGCGCTACTATTCATTTCCAAATGCCTCCTACACTCATTTCTGGGTGGAGATCTGCTCTGGAGCCAGGGCTGATAATTTAAAATATATATATTTTTTCTATTCCCTTTAATAGATGCAATCAAGACACAGAATCTATCCAGGTGTAGGAGGTGTCACACTTAGTTGAAATGAGCTATTGGGTTCCAAAAGCAATAACAAGGAGCCACATAACACAGCACTGCCTCATCAGATTTTGAGAGGTGATCACTCAGATAAGCAAGGATAGGCTGGCTGCAACCAGAAACCTGCAGCCACACAGCTAGCAAAACACATGAAGCTAACAAAATCAACACCGAAATGTTAAATTTCTCTTAAAAAAGTAAATACTGCAAGTCCTTCCTCGGTAAACACACAATTAATTTCTAATGAGGACTAATTAATATTTACAAAAAAAAAAATATTGCTCATTCTCATTGCTTCTGTCATCAATGTATTATCAGGAGATGCACTTTCAACAGTGTCTTTTGTCTTTCAGGAATGAAAAAAGGCATTCTATACTGAATAAGGCTGGAAATATGTTTCCCTGGTGCTTTTCTTTTTAAGCTGAAGTGGAATCTATCAGCACTATAAATTTGCTTACCCTTCTGTTCTGTACATGGAGCATCTCTCCAGAGGAATTTTCAGCACTCCGTTATTTAAGCCCACAAAGAGCGACCTGTCGCTGTGCAGGATTTGGAGACTCTTGATTGCTTCCCGTTGTCCATCAGGGAGGATCTGCATTTCCTCTAAATAACAACTCCTCAGGCTCCTGTTAGTGGTAGAAAGGGCCTTCAAGATGGTGCCATACTCTAGTGGAACAAGAAACAAGGCACAAGTAAATCCTGGGAGACATTGCCTTCGTGTCACACCTACCTAAAGATCAAAATACTGATGCTATGCAGTGGCTTTAACCCTAGCTTTGTGTCATTTTCTAATTTGAACATACTTGCTGCCCATTATATAGAAGCCCCTGCTCCATGATTACAATTCTAGGAAGCTCTCAGACATTACAGAAATGAGAAGGACTTGAGCCATCTGAAGAGTGAGTACCTGGAAATAATTCCCACTTGGAGCACTGAGGCAGAAAAGAGCTTGGTCCTGTTACCAGTGAGTTGTAAGGAAGGTGACCTGAGATAACAGGAATCATTTCTGGTGCCTCAAAGTCTATTTTTCTTTTGGTTTATGGAGCAGATCAGCGCAATTTGATGTCATGACAAATGACAACAGATGCAGCCGCCCTGCTGGAAATCCCAGAGGCCTCCATAATGATTGCATGGGTCATGAGTCTAATTGATCCTCTTCCTGGAAGAAGTTATCCTGCTAGCTTGACAAGGGGATGTTACAGCATCAGCAGTGCATATGCAGAAACATATACGCTTCTGCATATATGCTTGTGCTCACAGTGCTCTCAGCTAAACAATCTGAAGATCTGAAAAACTGTGGGAGATTTATGATGGGGAAAAGGGGTAACCACACTGTTTTTCATTAAAACCCCAAGAGAGGTCTGTCAGTCCCAATTGTTTTCCAACTTCAATCTTTCCATCCAGATCACTTCTGTATTGGTGCCAAAGCTCAGCAATTTACAGCAGTGGGGTTGGCTGCAATGCAAAGCCTTTTTTTTTTTTTTTTTTTTTTTTTTTTTTTTTTCCCCCCCCCCCCTCTGCTTAACAGAATCTTAAGTGTGGAACAAGACTGAGGCCCAGGTTTTGATTTTTGGGTTTGGTTTTTCTCAGGATTGGTTTTCTGTTCAGCGCTACCTTGGAGCAGGGCTGTTTCTCCTTAAGAATTTATTTATTTTAAACATTTCAGGTCCAGCACAGCTTTGTCTTCAGTCGCCACCAATCAGGGCAAGAAATCAAATGAATAAGAAACTTATGTTATGGCAGAAGACTTTTCCATAGAAGTGAAACGAGACAGAAATAACCTCAGCTTTCTGGCTTGAAATATCAATTTAAGATATCAAAATGGCAGAACACTGTTATCTTTCCATTTAACTACAATCTTCTGATCATAATCAATGTCCAGGGAGGCTCCTACAGTGGGAATGTTACTAGAAGGCATCAAAGATGGTCACTTGTGAAGCAAGTGGAAGTGAAAGTTACATAAAGTATTCTGGGAAGGTGGTAACATGAGAATGAGGCAATGACTCTGTATTCAGATCTGAGATTAAACTAACACGGACGCAATCCATCTTATTCTAAAGTCAAAGCTTCTGCTATAGAGGATAACAACATTATACCCATGAGGGTGGCCATATGCTCTGATTAATCAAGCTATTTAATTTAACCTCTGTCATTAGTATGAATATGGGCTAAGACAAGCATTAATAACACTCTACCCTTCTTCTGCACCTTTCATTTAGCCAAGATATCTGTACAGAAGAGGCAGAACATCCTGCTAATTAGAGGATGGCAGTAGAAATTAAGAAACTCAAATTATACACTAATACTACCACTACGCATGAAAACACTGCCTCAGCTTCCCCATCTACATCCCATTTCACTGAATGATTGTTCCTGAAAGCAGAGGGACTCACATACCAGTAGGCATGTGGAATTGCATAGAGAAACTTCAGGCAAGCCTGGAAGTTAAAAATTATTATTGCCTATTAGAGATGAGTACATCATAATGCAGAGAGGCAACTTATGTGCACAAAACCACAGAACGTTTTGGTGACCTCTGCTCTTCCCCATTGCCATGTGTTAGTGTGATCACTTGAAGCACATTTTTGTAAAAGGAAGAAAAATATTACTGTTGTTTTCAAACACACTGTAGACTTACGGCCCGTTCACTTGGGAATCTGCCTCAAGTCTTCCATTGTGCTTTTAATTTATTCAGGCAAACTAACTTCCATGAAACATTGTACCAAAATGATATTGAATGACTACTGTGGTAGTCATGGTATCACTAGCCGGCTCCCAGGACTCCTAAGTCTATGAGTAAGTGGAGGCCTTAGCCTCTAGCGTTCTTACCTGTTCCAATATACATCACGTGGTAGAGAGTATCCTTCCCCTGAACAATATCAACCACTAGTTTAGAGAATCGAATGCTGTCCTGAGTCACATACGGATCTACGGTGACCGGCTGCACCACGTCGTTCATCAGGAACAAGCGCTGCGCGTCCTGCAGGACTCTCTCTGTCAGGTTCTCATTCGGGCTGTCATCACTCAGTGTCCCACACTAAACATGGAAGATGGAACTTCAGCACCATTTGCACCATTTGTTTGCTTTCAGTAGACTGAGACCAAACCCAGAAATGCTCAATTTTAACCAGCCATGCCCTGATGATTTCCTGGGGAGGTGGGCCTGCGTGAGGGTCCCACCATCAGTCCCTTGGCATGGGTTATGGCTGGCTTTGGCCTGTAGCTCACTTTTTTTAAAAAGTTTCTCCCAACTGGTCTGCAGACCAGCAATGTGGTGTTTCATTCCTTTGAGGTACCTTGGAGCCAGCATACCAAAGAAAAAAAGGTATTAACAAACTGAGGAAGGAAAAAAAGAATTAAAGCTAGTTATAGAAAGAGAGATTTGAAGTTGGTAGTAGAAACAAAGGTTTTGTGGCAATAAATCCTTGAAGCATTTCAAATAATCTTCAGACTCTGCCTGACATCTCAGTCTGTATAATGCACAAAACCTGGAGGTTAAAAAACCTGAAAAACTGGTTGGTTTTCCATCAAAGAATCTAACTCACCCCACTGCTTTTCTCATGTTCTCCCTTCTCAACAGACCCCTCCAGCTTCATCTTAATCCAAGCAGGTAAGCCACTAAGTGCCTCCTCCCTCTTTTACCTTTATTGGCAGTGCAGATTGACCTTGGTGAATCCATCCTCCAACATTAATGGAGATAGAACTCAGGTCTATACAGAACAGAGGGGAAGAAAAGAGTTTATCTTGTGTCTTTTGAACACCAGCTCATGGCCTACCTCTCATAAACTGTCTGAGCAGTTTTACTAGAAAAAAAAAATATTTTTCTTCATTTTGGGTCCAGGTGTTTCCGCTTTCTTTGGAAGGGAAGCCATTATTCTGCAAATTAGGATGTTGATCTACTGCACTTCAGCTACAGTATACAACTTTCCCATATGCATACTCTCAATATTCATCAAAGCAACACAGCAGCACGGCAACCTTTCAAAGGTGCACCATGTAGAGCTCCTCCTACCAGCTCACAGGAATTTAGCTCACATGTACACAGTCAGTGTAATCAGATCCCACAGCTGATATACTGAGTCCTACAATTGTCAAGCCTTTAAGAATTAATTTCTGCAAACAAACGCATTTGTTGGTGTAGTACAGAGCTTGGATTCTGTAAAAATCCACCACCAATATTTCAGAGCTAATTATGTTGTTATTATTTCCAGAGGTCTTTTTATTTCTCTGCTGCTTCATTACAAGTTCTGAAAGTTTTTCAGTTATATCTTTTCTGCTGTCTCCTGTACTCCTTCTGGTTTACACTGCTGTCTTTTTATGGATGCTTTTCTCCCCACGCTCTTTCCTTTCTAGAGCATCACTGAAGGAGGAGTCCCAATGGCAGGAATGTCATTGTTGGTTTTGTTTTCTATTCTCCTCAAGTCACAGATAATCCTTTTGGGCTATTGGCAGCCTGTATGCTGACACAGCATCCCTCTGGTTTGGTTTTATTTTGTTTTGTTCTAATTTCCTGATTATCTGCACTGCCCTGATCCTCTATATCCTTCTCCTTCCTCTCAGAATAAAAAAAAAAAAAAAAAAAAAATTGGCATCTTTCCTTCATCCTCCTTTGAGAACACTGAAGCAAAAAAATTAATTTAATTTTTTCACAATATCTGCCTCTTCTGTCACTAAATTACCCTTGTCATCTCCTAAAGACCCTTCACTGACCTCCTGTTCCGCCTGTACTTGAAAAACATCTTAATCTCTTCTGCAATCTTCCTTTTGTCTGCCACATATCTTCTTTTCCTTTCCTTATTTTCCCCTGACCCTTTTCTTTCATCTTGCTGCTGCAATCTTTGCACTCCACATTTTATCTGATACTTTTCAGTACATGGAAATGCTTTCCAAAGCCCTTTTCTATTTCTCCAGGGTTAGCCCAGCAAGGGACAGAAGAAAGTCCTTCATTCTCATTTAACCTTAACATTTCTCTTTAAATTCCAAAAAATGTGATCAAGAACCTGAGCGTGTCGTCCCACCTTGTACAGGGAGAAGCCCTCTATCAGGTGCTGTGTTGGAATTCAGAGGGTTCCTCAGGAGTAACGTGGAGGCAGATTTGCCCCCCCTCGGCTCCTGCAATGATTTCAACTGACTGCAGAATCCATTTTGGAGGGCTCCTGACATCACCAGCTTGAAGGCAGATGGCACTTGCAGACAGCCTCAGGACCTCTGCCATTATGAGGCAGAACCAGATTCACACAATTGGGATGGAAATATTCACTGTGCAGAAGCAAGGACAGAAGGACGAGCCTGTCCTTTCCTGGATACTCCAGGTGGAAAGGGACTGAGCTGTAAAATGGGCTCTCACTTCAGAGGACTCAGAATTATGGGGGCTGTCAAATGCATACTTTGTGTTGCACTGACAGAATCTAGGGATAAGCCTGTTCTATACATTTCAAATTGGCCTTAACTCGTAACTCTGGAAAATTGCTCATCATGAAATCAAACATTTTTAAGGCTAAAAGGAATCTCTGTGACCATCATGATGTAGCCTCTTCCACCAGTCGCTTTTGCAATGTGTCAGTAACTTCTGGCTGAGCTACCATGTCTTGGGGAGACATCCATCTCACAGTGAAACACTGCCTTTAGGGTCCTATTAAGTGATGAAAAATTCATCACATCCTTACACAGTTGATTACCTTTCTTGTTTAAAAGCACAGGTTGTCTCCATTGTAGTTTGTCAGCTTCAGCTTTCTACCCTCAAATCTGAAGCTTTGGTGGGGATATGCTTGCACGTCCCCTGTGAGGACCACGTGCTCAGTGTTCGCATGCCAATGTGACATGCAACAAAGACAAGAGAGTAAAAAGGGTGGATCTGCCCTGTTGCATCAGAATTTGGGCCCATTTGGGTGGTGAGGTGCTGCCCTGAGAAGTTGTGGATGCCCCATCCCTGGAAGTGCTCAAGGCCAGGTTGGATGGGGCCTTGGGCAGCCTGCCCTGGTGTCAGATTTAGTGGTTGGCAACTCTGTCTGTGGCAGGGAGTTGGAACTACACAATCTTTGAGGTCTCCCTTCCAACCCAAGCCGTTCTAAGATTTGTGATGTAGGCTGATGCTGTTCCTGCCATTGGCCATTATCAGTAGTTTCAGAAAGTGGTTTTCAGTGGCTTTCAGTGGGGAGATTTCAGTGGTATATCCTGAAGAAAACCTCTCCTCACAACATTTTTACCTAGAAGAACACCTCTGGCCCACAAAAATTTTAAGTTCTTCATTCTTGTAAAAGCTTTGAACACTCTTATCTGTATAAAGACTTAAAATTTCCCACTAATCCTATAGTCTCAGTAAGATGCAGCAAGGAGTTCCAGACTAAAATACTCAGAAAGGTGGAGAAATATCATTTATCTGCACCATGGGTCTACCTAGAAAAGAAAGCCCCATACAAGTTAACCCAATGGGATGATGGAAAGTAAAAAGCACTAGAGCAAAACAAAGGGCAGCAGCAATACCTGGAAATTCGGGATGGGGTTTGCTGTTGGCAGCCAGGCTGATCTTGGGTTCTCTTGGTAACGGAAAGGACCATTAAATGCCTGAGTAATGGCACTGAGATTGAAGGCACACACTGCTGAGGCAGCTATGCTGTTTCTGGAAAAAGGGAGAAAAAAAATCAATTTAATCATTAGAACACTGACATTTTCATCATAACAGATATCAAACTCCACTCAAATAAAATAAGTGTAAATTGCTAGGTAGACGTACAGTGACACCAATCTCAGGGGGAGTAAAAATAAATAAATAAAGTGCAAAATGCAAATGAATCGCATGACAATTTTCAGAATGAATGTTAAGCTTGGTTTTAAAGTGCCTATGATTTAAGGGCCACAGAAGCAGTCCTGACATGAAAGGAGAATACAGTTTAATTTGCACGGGTTATTTGTGTCCAGATTTTTTTATTTTTTTTATTTTTTTTAAACACCTCATCTATCTTGATTGATTACAAACAACGTAATTTTTAATCTCTTGGTGTTTCTCAAGGTGAAAGCCTGTTTCTACCGGCTCCAGCTATAAAATACACCTCCTACTATTTGTATATACTGTATATATAAGCCCACACATGCATGCACACATGCAGGCAGAGGGAGGGAATGACAGCGCACACCAAGCTGGTGGTTACAGTAGCTCAGCAGGCACAAATGTCTTGCTAATATGTGCAAGCCTCTGTCTGCACTGCTCACTGCTCTCTGTTCCCAGCTGGGCGCAGCATCTGGTAGGGCAGGCTGCTCACCATGCACACACCAGCCAGGGGAACGCAGTGAAAGAAATGTCACTGCAGGAAGGACTTTTTGGCAGGGAATTGTTTTTAGGGGGGTGATGATGCCCATGCAGACTTGCACACAGATCTGCTGGGTTTTTTGGTTTGGCCCGTCTCAGCCATTCCTTTGTGGACCTGAGCTGCTCAGTGCTTTGTGCCCCCAAAGGATTGGCTTACACCTCCCTGATGAGGATGGCATTTGCTGAGCGGTAACGTAAAATTCCAAACCTGCTGACAGCTCCTTTTTTTTATTTCTATGTTTTTAATAAAAAGAATAACATTTAGAGAGAAAGATATCAAAATAAAGCTAAAAATAAAGCTAGCACGGAAGACTGACTCGTCACAGTGCCTTTTAAATAACCCAAGTGTCGCTGTATGTATCTTGCTGCTAATTAAAGCAATTTGAATTCTCTGAAAAGAACTTTTTTTTTTTTTTTAACTAAACCAATAATTACACTTTCTCACAGAAAAAAAAAAAAAAAGAAAGCCTTGCTTCACAGTCCCAGGCAGGAAAGCAGAAAGCCAGATTCTTTCACAGCGTATTTCCTCAGAGCCATACAATGTCAGGAGGAACTTTTCACTTTGCCTTCCCATTCCCTGCTCCTGCCCCTGCTCTCCTATCCCCGCAGTGATGGAGTAGCTCCCTTTGAACATGTCAAAGCAACGCCAGGCGAACCTTTCTCCACTTTTGTCTGCACACCGCTGACGCAGTGCATGCTTGCAGACGGCAGCTCTTAAGACAAAGCTAATGATGGATGACAAGTAAATGCCTGGAGGCACACATGGGAGAAAAAAAAAAAAAAAAGAGAATGAGATGGAAAATGAAAAAGGAAAAGAAGGAATAAAACCTTGCTAGTCTAACAAAAACACTTCTTTTTTTTTTTTTTCTTTTTAATTTAAAAAAAGGACCTTTTCAGGGCCCTGCTAAAGAATCCACAGTGTATTCCATTCCCTTTGCTGAAGAGGAGAAAGGAACAACATTTTTGATGAAATAATGCTATCTGTGGCCTGGCATATTTCCCATCCCTCCCCTACGAAAAGTCAGAGCCCAGTCCCCAACCAAAGGCATCAGTTTGGGCAGCAGGCCCCTTGCACGACATGCAGCCTCCTTTATTTCACCTCCTGCACCCTGGCACAAAATCGTTGGCTTAGTTCAAGGAGGTTTTAACATGGTCTCCATTACCTTACATTATCTTAACTGTATTAAAAGTTTCTGAAATATCTCATCAGCAACTTCCTCAATATTATTTCCCACTGATTTAGCTGGATATAACATAAAATGAAGCAATAAATCCTTATGTGGGTATTACCACAACTAAATATGATACAGACTAATTGCCTTTTTTTAAAGATGACCCTAACTCCATTAAACATGAAACTTTCAAAATAAAAACACCTTTTTTTTAAAAAAAAGTAATAGTTTTAGGTGCATCAGTATTCCATTATACAGGTATTCACATTAGAGTATGCACCAACCCTCTTTGGTATGCAGCACTCATGCAGCATGATATCAGTCCCAGTGGAAGTTAAAAGAATAATTACCATTATTCCTCTAGTCAGATGACAAATTGGAACATTTTCTCTTTGAACTCTCAAAAGAACATCATGTTGTAGACCCAAGCTACTTGATCTAACTTCAGCTATTATCAATAACTCATCTCTCCTACTATACAAATGTTACATATTATACTGTCCTCAGAAGACACCGGAGGGAACATACACCTGTAATGTGAGAAGAGTGACTTAATTGCAATCCAAAGGAGACAGGGGTAACACCATGTCTCACGTTTTAGCCAAACTGGAGACAGACACAACACGAGAGAACTGTTCCAACCAGAGCTAGGCCATGTATCCTGTTTTACTCAAAATCTATATCATTTTTATTAATATAATACATTTATTAATAATTTTATTCTCATTTTCAATTTCCGTTGTTGGCTGGATGAATGGACAAATGGATAGATAAAACATTACCATTCTGGGCATCATAAAAGTCCTCTCTTGATATTTAAAAAATCATCTTCATCAGCCACAGCAGTTGCCAGCTTTCCTTTCACATTCAGGAAGTTTCACTAGCAGCCTGTAAATATTTTTTGGGAGGGGAAAAGCTCAAAACCAGAACAAATACTCTCTAAAGTCCACAGTCAAGGTCCAGTGCTCAACTACTTATATTTTTTCACCTCTGGATCCATCCCATCTAACTGTAGCACAAAAAGGGACACCCAGAGCAGGTTGCCCAGGACCATGCCTAAGTGGCTTTAGAAACTCTTCAAGAAGGAAGACTCCATGAACCTTTTCTAGCTGCTTCTCCAGAGGCTTGTTTTAGGCTGGCATTGGCAACAAAAGTGCAGAAGCCAAAAATGGAAGGTGAATGAGGGTTCCCAAACACTTACATAATTCTTGGCATTTACAAACTGGGAATATCATTCTGGCTCTGTTCACTCTAATAGCAGAAATTGCACATACTAGTTCTGCAGCTAACAGGCTTCATATCCTTATTCATATCCACGGGTCCATATCCTCCTTCCTATTGAACAGTACTCCATAGCAAAAATAGCCCCAAAGTAGTTGGCTACCCAGCATGAGAAAGGCATTTTGAGTGGTTGTCAGGTGGAGTAACTAACTCAGATTTCTACTCTCTAGTTTACACGTCAGGATAACACCCCCCTAGAGAACATGTATTATTGAAACTCAATACCACACAGTCTGGTTATAGCCTGAAACTTATCATCCTAGCCCTGGGCTTCAGAGAAAAAGTTATTTCACTTTTTCTGTCTTAAAAAAAAATACATTATGAGTTTTTTAATATATTTTTTAATTAACTTCTCCTTTCTGCCTTCCCAGCTACATTAAATCATTCCAATTACAAGTTTTTTCAATATCAAGCCAAGAAAAGGTGATTATGAAGTTTCAGAAATCATTCCTTCCCCTTGGAGTTCTAATGCTGCTTTTGATTTGTGGTCCTGAGACTGTTTGTAGCAGAGGTATAGACCCACTTAGAAAAGTCAAAAGCTGTGTAGCCTGCATGACCTTGCATATATAATGTATTGTTTAGCAGCAGTTAATGCTGATTTCAGTACAGGCTATTGTGATGCCATTTGCCTCCTTCTTCTCATTCTAACCCTTCTCTCTAAGTGAATATATCTGTCCTTTTGTAGGGCCAGCCCTGATGTCCACACAATAGTGTCAGATCATCCAGGCATTAAGTAATAAATAAATAAAATAAAGTCATTTTTCTCCTGCGTCCTTTTCAGATCAGCTCTGCAAACTACATAAGTAACAGAAAGTCAGAAGTCTGTTACTGCTCAAGCTTATATAAAATTGCGTAATTTAGAAATGTACTGTCAACTTTTAGGGACCCCAGGCAAACATGAGCAATGGACAGAAAACACTGTCCTAAAGCACTGTTGCCATGATGGATAATACAAACCTACTTATTCCTTTGTGTTAACCAAAGGATCTTTCAAAAACTGTTGATCAGATTGTTTAAGAAATCAGGACAACGTCAGTCTCAGACTGCTGAGTACAGAAGAAGGGCACTAAAAGCAGTGCAACTTACACATTAGTGGTGAAGACACCATAGATCAGGTCTTGCTCAGGAAGGTAGAAGGTGCTTTGCAATTCATTATAATAGAAAGGAATTTCTCCAGCACGGGAGCAGTTCAGCCTGGCCTTCATGAAAGTTGTCCATGTGTCCTCCAGCAAAAATCTCCCTCCAATGTCATTTTTGCAGACCCTGGCCACACGAGAATATACTGTTTTCCCACAGTCATGTTCTACCGCATTCTCTCGAAAAAAGAAGTAGGTGAACAAACCAATGTCATAGGCAGCAATAAAGTTGGGTTCTGAAAAACAAATGTGAAGAGGTTTATACAGGTCAGAAATCAACCTATGCTCAACTTGCCCAATGCATTACAACCAGCTCCCTCTATGCAGGCTGTCAAAGCTGCAACCAGAGGGAGTTCAAAGTCAGCAGCAGACATAGAAACAGTAGATGAAAATAATGATACAGGGGGGTACAGCTCTAGCTCCATTGTTCAGATCTGGGAAAGAGCCCATAATTTCCCCACTTCACTGGCAAAGCTGCTACTGAACATGAGTGAAAGGACTTTGTCTATGCACTACTCTCCTTTCCTATAGTCATTTTACAACATAAAGCTTTTCCATTGGGTTCCTTTACCTATTTTTTTCTGAGCTGCATCTTATGGAGTGTTAAATATACTTTTTGCATCCGCTCAACTCCCCAGGCTGCTGCACTAAAACACTCAACCTATTTTCCCAGCGCAGTCACATCTGGCTTTTATCATAAAGCCTTTCCAGTTTCTAAGGCACAAAAGATTATCTTATGTCCATAAAACAAAACCATGCCACAAACTGACAGTATCAGAGCAAGCTCTCCTTAATTCTTTTTTCTTCTGCAATTATTTGTATTATTTTCACAAGAATTGAAAAGAACCTGGCATTGGTTTGCAGTGAATACTTTGATTGGGCATTTAACAAAGCTTTAAAAGTGTTCAGTCTTTCATCCCAACAGTTTCTTTGGCAAAGAGAAAAGATTGGCCAGTGAATAATATCTGACTAAACAACAACAAAATCCAGTTGGTTTTACAGGGTGCTTTAATGATGTTCATTTCTGAGAAATGAACAAAGAAAGAAAAAGAAAAGTACTGAATTCCTTTAATGCTGCAGTCCAGGAATGATAGGAGAACGGAGTCCGGCAGAGGGAGAAGAAATCAGGCTGATGGTGCTGCAAGGCAGCTTTTGGAGGTAGAACAAGGTAGAAAGGGAAAGGCACTGCAAAGCATCTCTGACCAAATTTACAAACAAACCATGAACCTTAAAGGACTGCTGTGATCACCAGTCTGACCTTCTGTCTAAGAAACCAGAGAATTACAGCCTGCAAGTCCACCACTGGATCCTACAACTAGCAGGTGAATTAGATCATGTCTTTCGAAGCAAATCTGATCTTACAGGACAAAGTCACATCACGAAGTCACATCTATCACTTTCTACTTTCCTTGGAGACTTGTTCAAATGACTAAAGACTGCCCCAGCTGCAGCCTGAACTTCTTCCATTTGACATTATCTGGTTTTATTTCTCAATGACAGGCTCTTGTCATGAGTTGTCTGCTAGATTAAAGAACTTCATCCTGCCGGAGATCTTCTCCTGATGTAAATACTTCCATATCATGAGCAAAACACCTTTTATCTCCTTTTCAGAAAGAGAAATACATTGAGCTCCTTAAGTCTCTCACTGTGAGGCAGACTTCCCAAGCTTCAAATCATTCCATGGCTCTTCTCTGAATCATCTTCAAGTTTTCTGTATCTTGTTGAAAAGTGGATAAAAGAGGATGAAATTACTTCATAGTCATCGACACTGCACAAACTCATAAATCCAAGAGTCACACTAGCTTTTCCAACAACAGCCTAGAAACTCAGTTTCTGTTTGCCCATCTTTAAACTCCCCAGTTCCAGTGAGACTTCCTTCTCAATTCTTAATTTGTGCACAGACAACAGGCACGTACTTCTAATGAGTGTTTATGAGTTACACTGCTTCTTAGTCCTAGTTCAGTCTTGCCCGATGACATCCTGTTATGACTTCTATTCTTCATGCTGACTTCATATACGAATGACTGCAGAAGCCTAGTGCAGTCTCATTAAGGTTCTGGAATCCAACAGGAACATTCTGAATATCTGGTCAACATAGCTAGGCCAAAAGTCTGCTCTGTCAAAATGTTCAGTCAGAAGATATCAGCTCAGTGCAGCAACTACCAAGTTGTAATTCTATAGCTTGCTTAATGCACAGTATTATCACACTGGGGTAACACATGATTTGAATAACTATAAATCCACAACAACATGGGTTTACATGGAATATAACTTGCGGTGAAATTTCTCATTTTCAGACTGACCTTGCACTGCAACCAACCATTTTCAGCTAAGTCAGTAGAAGTAGAGGGTGCTCAATAAATTTCAGAGCTAGGTCAACAATATGAGGCTTTATGTAAATCGGATCTTCAAATTCTTGAGGAATTTTCTTGCTAAAAGGATGCCTTTGGTCATCTTAGAAGACAGACTCACAACTATGTTAAGTAGCCTGTAAGACCCACTTTCCATACTCGATACCAACTTCCAGGCTATTTTTAAACATCTTCTAAGCTGGACTGTCTATTGCACCAGAAGCCCATTCCCGTTGTAACTCTTTAAAACAGAGGGAAAGATTCACAAGTCTGCCAAGTTGACTTTAACACATCTCCTGCTCATATACGTCCCACATGACTTTACCATTGAGCCATTTGGAGTTGTACTGTGCTGTCCTGAGTGGGGGAACATTTCCAAGGCTGCGGTAAATAGCAGGATCCCGCCCAGAGAAATCAATTACAGTTGCAGCATAGAGTTCTCCTCGTGATGTAATCACAGCTGTTGAGTTATGCCGGGGGTCATACGGGCACCGAGCCACTCCATTAATTCTGTCAATGATTTTGCTAAGATTTCCTACCTGTATTTAAAACAAGAGAAGAGACAATGTAAAGAGCAGCTGGCTTTTGCAATGGTACAGACAATTCTGTTTGTCCATGAGTACCTACAAGCAAAGCCCCAGTTGAAAAAAACAAGCAGCTAGAAGACAGTAATGCCAGCAGTGGCTATAAATTGATCTTTGCATACATTGTTTGCCACTGTAAGAAGTTGTGTCTGAGCCTCACTGATCCTACTGCTCTGTAAGAAGGGTGATTCCTCTGCCAATAAAGACTACAGAGCCCAGCCCACTCAGGGTAATTAGGTGCTCCTCTTGCTAGCACAGGTTCTTAATCTTCCACAGACACCTTCTGAATGTATACTGGCATTAAAAAAAATATGAACGTTAACGTTACTCTGGACCCACTCCCACCTCTCTTGAAGCCAAGGAGTGTTGTGCCATTTATTTTGAATGAAACATGTAAGTATTCAGGTCAGAAGGCACTCATAACTAAGCCTGTCTATATTCCCCATTTCCAACAGTATACTCAAGGTCTACACAAGCAGTACCTTGCCTAGATCTAGTGGGTCCACAACAGTTTTTTGCTCCCCACCTGTGGATACATCCACTGCTAAAGCAACCCAAAGGGTCCCAGAGACCAAAATAAGAACAATATCAGATCAACTGGATTCGAAACATATTCTCTGCTCCTGTGATGCACTGCAAATGACTGGCTATCCCCAGCACATGTTTACAGCCCCCTCCATTACCACAAACGAGGCAAAACAGACCTGACGACTGGAACACACTGGTGAAAAGGCATTGGTACCACAGGTAAAAACTTTCTTGCCATAAACAATCAGCACTCGGACATAGTTCTGGCACTCTTCCTGTAGGGACACAAGACAAAGACAAATGAATTTTGAAAAGCAGACTGTAGGGTTCTCTATTACTTTAAAAAAAGTACCTGCGTTACAGCTGGAATGCACCTTCCCTAGTGCTAACTTGGACCAAGATTTGTTACATCAAGCAGTAGCACTCCACTGCAAGGAGCCAGCAGTGTCAGCAAGCAAGCCAAAATTTCTCCTTACCTCTCTAATCATAGCCCTGCATAAATAGTCTCTGGTTAGGATTTTATTTATCAGGCTGACTCCGTGTTAGCTACACAACTGGCTCTTTCTGTGCTCTGCTTAAACTGGAGGAGGAATCTTCCCTCTTTTCATATTTCTGCCCTGTTTTTCCCAGCTTTGACATTATCCAGACACAAGCTTCAGAAATTTCTCTTCAATTCTGGTCTGGTCAAGATAATCTTGTGCTTGGACAGCCTGACACTTCCTTTCAAAATAAGCATCTATGCTCAGGATTTTCCTTGGTGGAAGGAGTTTCCCTTTCAGGATGGGAAGAGAGAAATGGCAAATCCCCTCTTTGCAACTGCACAACCATTTCATAGAATCATTAAGGCTGGAAAGACAACTAAGAACATCCATTCTGACACCAATCCATCCCTACAGTGCTCACTATGTCCCTCAGTGCCACATCTCCACAGCTCTTGAACATCTCCAGGGACCTCCCTTTGCAGCCTATGCCACTGCTTCACCTTTTGTTCAGAGAAAAAAAATTTCTTAATATCCAACCCGAACCTCTCCTGGCACAACTTAAGGCCATTATCTCTTATCCTATCACTGCTACCTGGGAAAAGAAGAAACTTATTAAAAAAACAATGTAGGCTGAGTTATCCCAGCTGCTTTGCTTCCCACCCTCCATAGATCATAATTTGCAACTAAGCTGAGCCTACATCTGCAGACACCACTTCTCCTGTAAGCAGCATTCATTCTGTGAGCTCCCCTGTCTCACAGTGCTCCACGCTGCTGAGCATTTCCCTGAAGACTTCATCTGCAAGAGTCAGCAGTGTAAAACTCCGCATCTTCTGGAAAGGAAGAGGCTTACTTAGCTGGATTAAGTTCTATCTTCTTTCATTTGGTGTATGGAAATCAACTTGCTGAAGGATGGCATTTACAGAAAATCCACTAGCATCAGCCACAGACAAATGACTGGGGCTTGCATTGGAATGGAGAAGACTGTAGCCAGCCTGGTTGAGGCAGAGGTCACAGCATGGAAACTGCCACCAGTGTCTCAGCTTTGGGGATACAACACTTAACACCTGGAACACAGTAATAGGGCAATTCATAACTGAGGCAATCCAGCATTCCTGTTTCAGCAAAGTGCAGCTATCCATTCCCACAAAATATTAGGAACATTATGTATTTAACTGTGAAGGACCAGAAATCATTGAGGAAATGCCTTGTAAAAAGGTACTGGTTTCTCTCCCCACCAAGTTCTGTTTTCGGGGTGTGATCGATTTAGCACCTATTCCAAAATGCAGCTCTGTACCCAAATTTCATGTAGTCAGAGAAAATCTACCTGCTCCCCTCTGCTTCCACCTTTTTCTGCTTTGTGCAGAGTCTGAACACAACATCTGCCCTAAACCATCTAACACCATTTACACTGCTGCATCCTTTCCTGCATAGATACTTCAATATGTTCCTAAATAAAACTCTGTCTGGCAGAAATCTAAAATCCTAATTTGCAGAATTTTCTTCTTTGCACAGACCTATATTACTGATTAACAAGCTTTATTTTCCATAGAAATGTTCCCAGCTGAGAAGCTAGTACATTAAAACAAGAATTTCTCTCTGACACCTTGCTGGATGTTTTTCTGGAGTCTATTGCTGCACACATTGCTCCAAGACATAGTAGCTCAGGTCAGTAAGGATGCTGGATGCTGGTAAGGTCCTTATTTTAGCCTAATTAAGCGTGGTTTTATTTGTACCCATTCAGTCAAAAGCAGAGGTCATTTATTGAAACACAAGAGAAACCACACTGAGCAAATATATCTGCTGCTGTCTGAATCTGCACCAAAATATTTCATCTGTGACTTCCAGCTTATTCTCAACTGTGCTAGCTAAGTGCAAAAGAGCACAGTCAGTACGGATGAGGTATTAGATTGGAAACGTTTGACACAGCTGATACTTTTCAGGGAGCTGAATGCACCAGACACAATGAGTATGTCACTGGCTGTAAAAAGCAGGAACTGGGGTGCCTAGTAGGTGCTTTCTACTCTGTTTAGATAATAATGCTCCTAGGTGCGGGCCATATCCAACCACAATTATTCCTGTGACTTAACTGTCCAGGCTATGTGTAGGTTTTTTCCCTGGACTTGCCTCACTAATGGTGGTGAAAGCATGCCACACTTTTAAAGGAAAAGCAAAGATAACAGGCACTTTTCATCCTCAAAGCAATTTGTACATCATTAAGTAATATACTGAAATGGATGTCCATTATCTTCCCTGTTCTCTTAGCTTGGGGAATTGAAACACACAGGTGCTACAGGGTTTGCCATGGTGACACTCTGAATGAGAGGAGATCCGGAAAGACAGCAACAAAGATTTAACTACCAGACCCTGTCTCTCTAACACGCCTGGCTTTAAGAGGAATACTATGCTCATCCAGTACTTCTTATTGCTGTACTCACTACCAATCACACCAGTCTATTAAAAACTCCAAGAAAAGTAAAGAAGAAGCTGTACCACTTAAATATTCCAGCTTTTGTGATTTTTCACTGTTGGTGAAATCTATATTAGATCCCCTTTCTATCCTGTTCTCAAAATAACTAGAAGGGAACAGGTTTCTCTCTGTGTTCTTCAAGCCAGCCTGGATTTGCTCTGATAAGTCATCCACCATGCTGCTCTTTACAATGATCTGTAGTCAAGGCAAATGGTTAGTAAAATTATTTCATAAACACTTACAGAAAATAGGAGCTACTTAGTGCAGTTTCTTTCACGTGGCTGGAAAACTCAGTATGCAAGAAGCAAAATTCAGATGGACTTTAACATAGCTAGAAAGTCTGGCAAACTTGAATCCCCGCTCTTTCCAGACAAAACAGTATTTGGGTCCTGCTCTCACATTATGAAGTAGACAGTTCAATCTGTGTATGATCAGACTGCAGAGCTCATCACCAGAAGATATTATTGGGATCATGAGATTAAGGACTTAAATAAAGGGGGAAGACTCAATATTTATGTGGTTAATGAGAATAACCCAGTTATATTACTTGGGATTATCATTAAATATATGGCAGAGCTGATAAAAACCTGTGGCTCACTGCCAGAGCATTAAGCACATCTCTGATTTTCTTCAGAATTACGTATTACTGATTGTAAGGTTCTCACTCCTTTAGAATTATCTGGTACTGGTCCTTTCTTGTAGATAAAGCCTTAGACTGAGCAGAAATCACTTTCTCCTAGCTGAAAGACCCTAGAAACAGCACGAGTTATAATGCTCAACCCTACAGGATACATGGCTCACTGTTTGTAAGAGAGTAAACTCTACTGAAGTTCCTCACGCCCCTCTTCACTTTAAGTCTGTTCTCATTTCTTTCATTTTTGCAACATTTAACTCTAGCTTGTCTGTGAATGCCATAATGCTACTGCAGATAGGAGCAAGCCCCTTTCCAGCAATACAGATGTCAGGCTGCTTTGAAAGCACGTTTCTAACCCAAGAACCAAGAGTGCTACTCCCTTCATTTGTGCGGACAGATTGGCAAATGGAGGCGCTGAACTCCTGCTGGCTTCAGTCTGAGGTAAAAGTCAAGATGATGTTTTCAGGATGTACAAAAAAAAACAGCTGTAGGTGCTTCTTGAGATATTTCATCTGTCATCTCTGAACACAGGATTCCAAAATGTTATAAGCCCTTAATCTTGTCGTACAGATATATTTTTTTCTTCAAGAGTCATATACGGGCACTGCTTTAATTGGCCTTTACTTTGAATAAAGCACTCAGGCTCTGTTTTCAGAGATCTCGTTTTTGATTCTTTTTCTAGGCTAACACTATTTCATCACATACTAATCAATACATTTTAATCATAAATTAAAAACACAGTTACATGCTCTATCAGGAAAACAGCTGTTTCAGGGTCTGTTGTACTCAGTAAAGCAGCACAAACTCTTCAGAATAGAGAAATTTATTTTGGGGTTAGGCCAGAGTCGATAAGAGGAGAAATGGGATGAAACTTGGCAAAGACACAGTTACGACCTTCTGACAGAGCTACAAAATAATGAAAATAGTTTCACACACCGTGCAATTAATCCGTAGAACTCCCTGCCAGGAGTTCACTGAGGCCAGAACATAGCAAGATAAAACAGGTAGATGGGGGTGTATGGAGAATAAGGACATCAAGAGTAGAAACAGCAAGTTTTATCAAAAACTTATAGAAATCTGGCCAACAGTGACCCAAAGCCTGCCTGTTCTTTCCAGCTACATCAGTAGGGGCAAGGGGTTACTTCTTGCAAAGCTTGCTCTTCTTTTACATTCAGCTCCTGTTGGCTACCATCAACACCACCATAAAAAAATCCATACACTGCAAAAAGGGGAATTCTTTTTTCAGGAGATGTTACCATGATGGGAGGATGTTTCTCTACTGATGCAAGTTGTCCTGCACATTACTCTTGCATAGCCAGGTCTGACCAACACCTACATAGAGTCACCACAGGTAGACAAAAGTTTTCAGGCAACAATGTGTAGGCAGCTATATCCGGGGAGGGCTCCTGCTCTGCTGGATGTCTGATTACTCCTGATTTCTGCAATGCAGTGGGAAGAGTTCAGTCTCTCCATTGAATCACCAGGTCCCACTGCACTGGCCTTCCTGCTCTGGTGCATTTAGATGACTTACTAGCTACACCAACCATCCAAAATTCCTTCTGTTATGAAACTAGATACACTGCAGTTCAGAGAATCAACCAGCAAAACTCTGTGTTATTCCTGTGTTATCCCTGCAATCACATTTTAGAGTGTGGCAAACACTTATTGGTTGCAGTTCATTCAATTTGTTTAAAAATAATCACATCTAATGTGTTCAAACAGTTATTAATACGGTTTTAGATATCTGTTTTTATTTCTTTGGGTAACCAATTTTATTAATCAGCTTAACCAAAGTCCCTGACCAAGCTGTCTTTCTCCTTTGAACACAATGGATACCAAAGAGAATTGCTAATGATTTTCCAGCTAGGTTTTCTTTAATGGACTTTGAATCAAATTCTGGGGCTACAGAACTGGCTGCTTAGCAGAAGTATTAGGAACGTAGTTTCAGATTTCTTGGAATAGTTAGAAAGGGAAAAAAGTGTCCATATGACTGTCTCTCAACCAGAAGTATTCACCTGTGGATTTATATGGCACCTGTTATATCTGGATGCCTATTATTTATAAGTGGCATGGAGATTCCTGGCTACATTAGATAACTAGGGAGCGTATCCTCTTCATGACAGAGCCATTTGTAGGCCTGAAATACCAGATTCTTCCATTATCCTAGCAACTTCTGCACTAAACCCATTTAGCGGCTCCGAAGATTTGGGTTAGGATTCCCTGTACCCTGAATGATAACTTCTTCTATCAGGACATCATACAAGAAAAGGGAGACAACCAGTCTGGGATAAACAGTAGCTGGATGCCCTATCATACATTTCTCTTGGCTCTTTCTTACACCAGAAGTGTTACTTGTGCATCATCTTTCTCCTTGCTACAGATTTCTTAGATCAGCATGTAAGTGCTGGATCTCTGTCATTTTCACAAATGGTTCCCTTCAACTCTTTGGATAGCTGGACCAGATAATATTCACAGGTCCCTTCCAAACCCTACAATTCTGTGGTATGGTGGTGTGCAGCTTTTGGGAAACTAACAAATTATTCTATTCTCAAACATGAAAAAGGGCTCCTGTTTAGAAAGCCACAATTTTCTATGTCAGGCAAAATTCCTTGGATATGGCAGATGGGGATTGCTATGCACAAACAAGCTAATTACAAACTAGAAGTAGAGTAACTCCTAATGAAATCAAATACATTTTGATATAGTGGCACTTTTTCCCCTTGCACTCTATCCATCTCTCATTTTAACTACAACCTCCGGGTGATAGCACTTGGAAGACAGAAAGAAAGGCAGCATAACATTGATTTTGTTCTCTGCAGTATCTCTCAGTGTAGTGGATGGTTTCCAGGGGAGAACTTTAAGATGCTGATCAGAATGTATTTTATAAAAGCTGCAAAAATAGGAATAATTATGAGTGGAAGCCAGCATGGATCTCCAGAGACGTGGAAATAATGTATACGCAATTCTTTGAGGAAATCACAAGCTTTGGTTCATAAAAATAGCAACATAAGTGAAAAGGATTTTTCTGAAGTATTTGTTTTAATACCACATGACATATAGTTGAGAGTAATTTTTAAAATCAGGTTCAAGAACATATATATTAATGGATGGAAATCTGATAAATTAGCGGACTGAAGAAAAGTCCTCCAGTGAGAAATTATTCACAGACCTGCTATTCGTGGAGGGACCCAGATGGCAAGATACTAGTCCAGAATCAACATTCTTTTTAAGCCAACATTTGTGGATAACCCAAAGATTAGGAAAATAGCAATTACTGATGAGGCCAAAGCAGGGATGTATGTTAGTTGGTGAACTGGCCCCAAACAAAATACTTTTTTTAAAAGATATAAATCAAAGATCAAGGAACAAAAAGATTCTGTGTACAGCCTTGGACATTACTGACCCAAATGAGCAACTGGGAAAAGTATTTAGTGGTCACAGTGACTGTGCAATTCTGCACGATCTCCTATGACAGAAGAGCTTATGAAACTGCTGGTATATGAGAAGAGAGAAAAAGAGGTGGAAGACTGTTTTAATCACATTCAAGCATTAGAGACTGGCAAGGGAATACAGGTAAAAAATTGGAGTGTGCAGAAAGCAGACACAAAAAATATTCAAGGGTAGTGGAAAAATGACTTACAGAAAGACTTGGAGAACTCAGCTTTTCATGTTACCAAAATGAGAAAGCCGCTCAAAACTTGAGGCCAGATTCAAAGAGGAAATAAAGCACATGCTGTTAACAAAGAATGTGACTAGTCATTCCAACAAGCCAGCAAACTGTGAAGTCATCCCACTCGCTTCAGACCTTATGGTCACAACTTTCTGCCTTCCTCAGGAAGGTACAGTAGCCAAACACAAGTTAGTGAGCTCAGTGCTGGAATAATCAGTTAAATCTGCGGTCAGAACTATATAAAGTGTCATAGAAAAGACCAAATAGTACCTTCTAGACTTAAATCTGGAAACCAGCTGTCTCATCTCCATTTTCTTTAGCCAATAGGCATTAAAATGTGGAGTGATAATCAGTAATTATATTTCTGTGATATGTACTTTGTAGCTTTTACTCCTGCACTTCTTATTTTACTTACGGTAAAGCTCAAGGCATTTCAGGAAGAGATTTTCTAAGCAGCGGGAAGAATTTGATTTAGATACCCAACAGGCATAAGAAAAAAGCATTTTAATACACTAGGTAGCTTTGAGAACTTCACCTTAAAACACCTACTTTATTAAATGGGCAAAGAAAATGAACCAGTCATATAACTTATCCAAACTACACGATGAATTAATATAGAAGCCAAAGGTCCTCGTTATTTCTAGCCTTTATCACCACATATCTAAGTGCCTGACAATCTTTAGTATATTTATCATCAAATCATCTGCGGTAGGTAGAAAACTGCCATTAGTCAAGTTTTGACAAAGCAGATCTGAGGCTAACAGAGCTCCTCTTGTACCACCATCACAAAAGCATAAATAGAAACACATTAGTGCTTGCCCTCACTTGATGCATTTAACCAGCCAAGAGCAAAGATACTGGGTCAGAGCTGGACTTCTCGGCTGCAGTAGAGCTCATCACCAGCTAACTAGCTCTGGAGCTAGCATTAAGTCATCCCTCTACAGCATAGCAAGCAGTGAATGTGTAGACTTTCCAAGAGGGACTTGACCACGGACATACAGACCAGAGTAGGTACAGACTTGAGACATCTCAGTGTACTTAACTGCTGCAGAATCCTTCTGCCTTTCTTTTTTTTTTTTTTTTTTTTCATTAGCCATTAATTGTATGTCAAGAGGTGTCTAACAATCTGATTAATTATTTTTCTTCAGATCTGCACACCCCAGGTCCCCGCACCAAACAAACAGTTTCAAGCTCTGGATCACAACCAGCATAAACTCAGCTGTTTCAGGCCTCATCTTCAAGAAATATTTGGCAAAGCCTTTACAGTGTGCAGAGGCAGTAGCAGCAAAGATGCTCAGATCACTGCTTTCTTCCGGCATGACAGTAAAAATAATAAATTGAAATTATCCTAGAATTTGTTCAGTCAAGTGCATGCAGTCTCATAAGGTTTTATCTGGGTAATGACAAAATAATTCTGGGTTATAAATTCAAATTCTTCAGGAACAATGGAATACAATCTCAGTCTCAAAAACTTTTACAATGGGAAAAAAGAGCAAAATCCTTTCGTAAGAATACACATTTTGAAGTATAAAGACCAAAAATTCCTTCTGTCTTGGGTTTTGGAATTTTTAATTCTGTCTTCTTTCGGTGTTTTCCTAACATAATCTATTTCTTTTCCATGGTGTTTTCCTACGTAATGTAGACCTTATACAAAACTCAGAAAGATGTTCTGGGATAAACATACTCCTTTTTTCCACAATTACATGACCCTCTTTGTTGCCCATCTTGCACAATTCAAGCCAGTATTTTCATGCATATACAGGCTAATACACTAATCATATTAAGTTTATTATTTAAAAATAAAAAGACAATGAAAGATCATATAATCCTGCATTTGAACAACTGAACTGGACTCTGCAGAACTCCAGATTTTGGGCAAGCTACACAATTGTCCTCTGCTTGACTGTCAAATCTATAGCAAAGATGATGCTCACGCTCTCCTCCTTTGTCCAGCTCCTTTGATTTGGACATAAAGCTCTTTATGGCAGAGTTTTTATGACAACAGGACACTCTCAGTTGAGGCCTGAACACTATCAACAGCAGATTTAAAAAATCACAGTGTTTCCTCTTTTATATACATAGTTTTGTCTCAGTTTCTCAGAAACATGATAGAAGACTCGGCCAGAAATGCCTGCTAACTCCAGATCTTGTGTGGTATGGGCAAAATTCTAGCTTTGAGCCACAGTTTTAGCAGACAGCACCAGCATCCTAAGGAGTTCTATGATACTCCACGTGAAGTGAACCGCAGTATTCAAGCAGATTCAATTCTCACTCTCAAGTGAATTGTACAATGGTGAGCTCTAATGGCAAACAAATATTCAATACAGGCCCATGTGGCCAAATGTCAGCAGCTCACTGCTGAGTACTGAAACTAAGCAAACCTGATGAGGCTCAGACCCTTCTGCAAGATATTACCCTGGACTTGCCCCCATTCTTCTCCTCGATGTGTCACAAATTGTGTCCTCTCCAGATGTGGTTACCTTTACGTTTCATGTAGAGCAAGTCTAATAACTTGGATAGGGGGCCTTTGAAATGGTTGCTCTTTGGTGCTCATGCACTTGGGGTGCTAAGTATTGAAGATTTACAAACTCAAGCTGGTGTCAGATGCTTCCCGTCTGGATTTCTAATGGAATAATGTAAATAAATTTACTCATACTATCTCTGTAGCAAAGCAAAACTTACCTCTGTTTTCCCTTTACTTTGACAAGACCTCCTGGTGTCTTCATCTGAATCCCATGCTGTTGCCTGAGAAAACAAAATGCACAGGTCACACGACATTGCCACAAACCACCAAATCTGGAGACTCCCAGCACAAAAGCAAGTATCTCCAGCTAATTTATACAGCCCAATTTACAAGCAGTGTGATGACGGTAAACATGCATCTCACTCCCACTGTGCTCACTACACTCACAAATGACAAAAAGATGAAATGTCCAGAAGCAGAAGTAACTGGCATGTTAACAGGGGTAAGGCTTTGATTTACATGTAAGTACAACTTCTGATTATCATTCAACTGGAAGGTCCAAGAGTCAAGTCCCATAAGACCTCACCCCTTCTCCAAACACCTAAGACTACCAGCTTTCATCACCAAAATGAAAACTTTCCCTATGGCAAAACTAAGTAGTCCTGTACAGATATAGTGGACTCCTTAAATTTGTCTTCAAGATTATCACCTTCAAAGTAATCCTGCAGTGAAGTGAGATGGATCAAATGAGAATTGAGAGCTGATGGACAAAACCCAGAGACAGAAAACGAGGAAAAGTTGCATAGTGATTTGTGGTGCCCTAGAAGTGTAGTCAGATCCTGACGTGGAGTAAAGTGCTGAGGGCACTACTGACTGGGGACTGCAAGACTTCAGCCATGAGCTGGTGGGATTCCCTGGCCAACCTTGACTAACACCTTCACAAGGAAAGTCCAGCAGAAGTGTGTCAGAACTTTCAGATTTAAAGTAATTTGGAAACACACCCAATCATTCTATGCCCTCTGCAACTTTCATACCTTCAATATTTTTTAAAAATAGTCCTAAGAAATTCAAGCAGTTATTGTTAGCTGGAGGTGAAAATACATATAAGCATCTGTACTATGCATAATACATTATTCTGCATACAAAAAAATATATAGCTCTGTTTCATAGGGAGAGGCTATGCTTTCAAAGTTCAGATACAGATCCAAAGCTCCTCTAAAAGAGTCAGGACTTCTTCTTTCCCCCCAGCACTCTTCAATTCATTACCAACACAGTAAATAGCTTCAAAGTTTGGCCCGGATCTGAACTCTTCTTTGTCACTACAGCCAATATTTATTTATTTATTTTTAATACTGGACTTCCTTAGAAATTGTCCCCTTGACACACAACAAATCCTACTTCTTGCAGGAAATAGAAGAGACTACTTAAGAAAAAAGAATGACTCAACCCCAAAAACTCGGTTCCATGAAGACATTTGTTCATAATCACAAGAAATATACTACCCAGCAAATGCATTTACATACAATATTTAGAAAAGGGATACTTGTTCCACTTTCAAAAAAATGGCGTCTGTTCATTAGCTGAGCATCCCATTCCATTTGGCATGGGGTGAGTCCTTATAAGTACATGCAAAATCTGGTGGGAGAAGAGTAGAGATATTTCTCTGGGAGTCTCTTGGGAAATATCTCCCAAGCAGTGCAGTCCAACTGGCTCTGAAGGTCAAAAGCTTGTGCCTGAAAAGTGTTTTTGTCAGAGCTGAAATAAGTCCTTACTGGAAAGGATCATTTAGCCATATCCTGAGAGAGGATATGTCATTAGATGGGAAAACTCACTTTGATAAGCCATGACAGAAGAGCAAGGAATTTTGACTGGCAACTGCCAGGAACCTTTGACATCTGTGAAACAACTGCACATTGGCGTTTTGATCTCTAGTACGAATTTTGGCTCATGTTCTCATCTATCCACTGTGGTTTTGTATCTCAGATCAATTTTTGAGGAGCTTAATACAAAACAACTCCAGAAAAGAAGATACCTTATTAGGTGACTTCTCTTTCCATTTCAAAAACAGGGACAGACCACTCACAATTATACAGCTCATTTTTAACTTAACAGTGCTTGACAGGGCAAAATGAAAGCAAAAATTGTTGGTTACTACAGAAATCAACGCTGCTTCTCTGCAAATACTCTGGGTCTTCTGGAACTGTAGTAAAGCTACAGAGATGAATCTGGGCCTCCTAGGGGACACTTTGCTCTTCCTGCCAGACACCTGCACGCAGAGCTCTGAGGCACACTGTAAACATTGCTCATGTCAGAGCACTAATCCCCTCCAGCTATGTTTTTGGTGCCAAAACATTTTATTTTATTAGGCAACAGTGCCCTTCAGCCTTCTGAAGCACCACCTTGATGAGTCTTAGTGATAACAGAAGTTCTTGGTGATAGCCCAAATTATGGGAACATGTTGTTTGTGACTGCATCATTAGTCAGGGTGCACTTCATTAGAGCTAGGAAGATAATTAAGCAATATGGCAATTCAGAGCATATTTTACAAATCTCACACATCTTTGTTGGGGCAGGGAGAAACTAGTCGAGGGCTCAGTGACTTCAGTGACCTCTAGTGACTCAAAGAAAATATGTATGATCCTGCAAAGCAGAACATCATGTCAATAATAAAAATATAATTGCAAGGCCAAGCAGCAAATATGTGCTTAAATAACTGTACTTCAGGGTATGAACGTGCACCAGCCAGCTGACCTAATGCCTAGACAAATCCTTCTGCCAGACTGCCCACCCAGATGTAGCTGCGGCCTTTGGATTGTACCTGGTGAGAGGACCAGGGCAGTGTCCTTCATAAAAGCTTTCTAGCCTGGCTTGATTTCTTTACTTGATTGATCAGATGTCTTTTCAGATCAGAATATGTCATCTCTGTTGTCCTGAGGTTTTCTGTGCAAACTCCCAATGCAATGCTGGTGCTTTGCTTCCTGCATCTCACTCATTTGTTCAACCCTCTCCTTTGCAAATTACATTTACTTCCTCTCCCTGAGATTCATTTTGCCTCTAAATTAAACTACATCCTGGTCATTCACCAGAGATACCTTCAGAAAGATGTCTCATCTGGAGTACACCTGTGTGCACACAGTTGTACTTACATTCGTGCACGACCAAGTATTCCAAGAGATGCTTTGTTCCTTTGCCTTCTTACCTAATCTTAATGCTTCTCTGCCTTCCCCTCCTTTCCTCATCTTCCTCAATAAACCAAATGAATACTATTTCTTCTTGCTGACAAAAGCTGCCTCTGCACTCTTGGCTGATGTACAAGATGTAACCATCGTGCATCTTTGGTCACCCAGCTGTATCATTATCCTGAATTTATGATTATTTTCTCATGGCCGGGCCATTTAAATTTCCCAGCTCCAGAAAAGTTATCTGGAATTATTTTTGTACCTCCTGCCCATCCAAAGCAGTAGAGTGGAAAACTCTGGACCCATTTAGCAAAAATTAAATTCACAGCATGGGTCATGGAAAACAGCGCCTAGATGAAGATATGACAAAGCTGGCAGCAAGAATACATACAAATGCAAGTTAGTATGCACTTTCTCCTATCTGCTTCCTATCTGTCTCATGCTTAAGCAACCAAGTGAACACATTTTTCCAAAAGAAATGCAGCTTCTTGCAGTGCTCCCAGCTACTTTGAGGACCTCTTTACAATCACAGGGCCCAAGTGCAGAATGGAAGAACACTGGATTCACATGACATGTGAACGAAACAACCAGCTCAGGGCTGTAGCTGATGTGTAAGACAAGAGCAATGCAAACCCTGAGCAGGACTGCCCAGCCATCTGTGCACATGGGCAACTTTGTTCCTGAATTGAAAATGCAGTTAATGTGACTTCCATTCACCATAGTTGCATGGACTTGAGCACTATGCAGGCTGATTTTCCAAAAAAGGGGAGAGAAGGAGAGTCACATAATCACATGTACATGGTCTAACACTGACCAACAAGATGATTAACAGAAATGGGCAACAGTGGCTAAAGCTCAGTCCATATCTAAGCATTCAAATGCCACAGTGAAGCACAAAAAGGAAGAGTTAATGTCTCTTCTAATTATAAGCATCACAGTTTGCTCCCAGTTCAGACTGCAGATCAACAGTAATCTAGAAATTCTAGCTCATCATGTGCTGTCAAATCAGTTATTCAGCACACACTGCTGAGAGAAGCTTTCTAGATACATTTATTTAATTACCTGCATATCCTAGTGTTGGCATCCAAAGTACCTGTCTGTCACTAGCAAATCCTGTTATCAATAGTTACATACATTCTCAAATGCTGATGTGAAAATCTCCTTGACTTCTATGGACCAGCTCTTACATTCAGGCCAGCAATTTATAATTATTAAAAGCACTACATATGAATTTAATAGATCTAATCCCTGCGCTGTACTTGCACAAGACAGATTGCAGGTTATTTTTTTTTTGTGCAAAAGTAGCCCCAAATCTCTGCTTTGAAACTAGAAACTGAAGAATGGATGAGAATAGGTTACTTTCATATTTATTGGGCAAATTAAACCCATTCTTAATTTCTAAACTCCCTTAATACAAATCTATCTGTTACCAACCTCACTTCCATTCAGTAAGTGCTCTGTACAAGCTTCTGGCAGCCCTGCATGCCTGAGGTCAGACCCAGAATCATGCTGTTCTCTCCTGTTAGTGGGGGAAAAAGGTGTAATACAAGCATATACATTGTGTATGCTTGCAAGAGAATGAACAAACAAGTACAGGATTACTGCAGAAAAGGAGGAGCTGTGAGAAGCCTGGCATTTTTTACAAGGTGGTGAGTTCCTCAGTTTCCTGCTAACATCAGCGAATGCCAAAGCAGCACTACATGTCCCAGCTCCAGCCTGCAGGGACTGCAAGCAGCAGAAGCTCCCATTTCTATCATTCCTCTGCAGTGCACACAGGAGGCTCTTCAATCTGCCCGAGGAGCAAGAGGTGATTTCAGCTCTCTGCTTGTGCTGTGCAGGGCACCCTGGGCAGAGCCTGCTAGTCACATCACTCTTTGCTGAGTTATACATGAGGAAGGAGGGTAAGAGGTGCTGTGAGATGACAGTTATTGCGTACTGGAGACCAGAGCTGGCAGAACCATTTCTTTTTCCTTGTATTTATTCACATCTTTCTTTCCAGTAACTGTACAAGGCACTACTGTGTTCACAGAAACGTACCTCTGGAAAAAAAAAGGAAAAAAAAACAAAAAAAAAAAACAAAAAAACAACTTGCTTCAAAAGCA